GGGTGTGTAAATATATTTCCCACAAATTCCGGTATTGTTTTCGTCTTCCTCCATTCAAACAGCACATAACCTCAAAGTAGTACATATTAATAACTGTTCGACTTTATAGTACTGCAGATGCATGTATAACCACTGAAGGGATTTCGGCGGAGCCTCCCCTTCAATTTTTTGTGCGCGTCTTAATGTTTTTTGCCAACCAAAAGAGAGTCCTACGAACGGCTGATGGATTCTTATCAGATGCTCCCAATTTCAAGTCAGAAATGTACTTTATGGGCTTAACATTCCTTACCAAGGAGCGATTCGAAAAAAAAAATGTCTGTGATTTTGAATTTTGCTCTCGAAAACACTCGGTTATTGCGGCGTAGCAACCAGGAAGAGTTTTAAAATTTGATCAAAAATTAAGTGCCGTCTTCAGTCTTAAGTCTACTGGCCTCTGTCATTTGAACGACTGGCCTTTACTTCCAATGTCATAAACATATAGCCGCGGCGATTAGTACTACTCAATCAAATCAGTATCCGTATTGATTTCATTCAACAAATGTGAGGTTATGTGCTTTCCTGGTCAAACTTCAGCTGTTTTGGAACGAATTTCCCTGCAGCACACTACATGTCCGAATTTTCCAAAGAGCTTACATGGCCAGACGTTAAGTTGACTTCTCGATTGTTGTAGCTGTTGTAACGTTTCGCCCACACGTCTAGGAAAAAGACGAGACGACTATCCTAGGTCAGCAAGGCCATTTAACAGGAGGTCCAGGAAACGGGCAGTTTCAACGCGCTAGAAACAGTGGAAAATACGTGGGGGTTTTATATACTCGTATATGGGTATGACGGATCAAGTGTGGATAGATAGAATTTAAATCTACCACCGTATCCTCATCTTAATTGTGCCAATATTACTCGGGTCACTTGGATTCCAAAAACGTGTTTAAGGCCTGTCGGTACGCCACTCTGTCCAGCGGTTCTTGTTTATAGTGCTGTAAGGAGGCGATATAGTTGAATACTCTCTCCCTACACAGCATAAAAAAATATACTCTATAACTTGGAGCAATCAGTAAGCGATGCGTCGGTGACATCATGGAGTTTCCTATAGCGACCCTTAGGGTGGTGTTCTTACATTTTTGTAAGGTCTAATTGATCACCTCGCAAGTTTTCGGCATCCGAATGCAATTTCCGTCCGGTCTACCAAGTATATGACGTGCTACAAGAACCCCAGGGCACGCTGGCGCTTTGTGGGCTTTGTTGCGGCTCTTGGCTCGGAGTTTTGTGGCAATTGCAGTCGTATGCGGAGGTATAGAGTGCAGGCGGTCAGATGGGACTCCCAATAACTTTATTATTGTTACATGAGTTCAGGCAGGTACTTTTTTGTCGAGGCGTGGAAAAGGAAAATCGAGAATCTCGCAGCTTCTAGTTGTGACTATCCTGCAATGAAGAAGTATTCTTGGTCAATATCGAGCAACCATCGGCAAATGAGATCAAAAAATGACCTTAGAAGGAGGAGGGAGTTTTTGTTTGTAAAAGTGAAGCAAAAGCGGGGAGTGAGGGTGGTGTCCTACCACCCTGTGGAACCCTTTGTTAAATTTTACGGTGTTTAAATGTTTGACCTCGGAACTCTACCGTTGAATGTCGACCACTCAGCGTCAGTGCCCACAGTCCACCACTTCAACGCCGGCGGTAATGAGAAATACTCATTGTTCGACAGTAGCAATAAATGGTGGATGATGTCAAATGCTTTTGACAAATCCATTGCTACCGAGACAGTGCGCATGTAGAGCCGGTTTTGGTTAAAGCCATAGACTATCTTGGTGTTTATGGCGTTAAGTGCTGTTGTGGTAATGTGCACCTTACGGAAGTCATACTGACATACTGTAGACTTTCTATTGATTCGAGTGATTCTCGCGGCTGGATCGAATGAATTCCAGTCGAGAGCCCGAATTTTCGATCACTCTCTCTCAACAATATAGCGCCAAATCTTCTCTTCTAAGGCGTCAATCGACTAGGGCTTCAATCTACACTTTTAACCAAAAGTGGGCTAAATCGCTGAACTCAATTTTCTCGTAAATAACGGCATCGGTGGCCATCAGGTATTGAGCTCATTCACCGAAAGTGCGACACGTTTTATGGTTGCTCGGTTTCACTGCTTTCACGGCCTCCTTCCCCAAAATCTTCCAAATGTTACGCTCAATGGCGGATAGGGTCGTCTTCGATACTCTGTTCTACGCCAACAACTGTATGGCGTCCACTAGAGTAAGCGTGGAGCGAAAGCGGACGCCTACTCAGATGCGACGATGCGTCACGCGAGCCTAACCAATATTTGTGTCGGAGTAAGGCTGTTCATAATGAAATGGCAAACCAAACTGAATGTAACAGCTGTCACGACCAAGTCCGAAAAAAGCCTTGCCTCATTGAAAAACACCCTTTATAGAAATATTCTCTACTTCCCTTCACTTCATCTCTAACAACAAAACAAGTAAAACAACAACAAAATGTATTCATAAACTTTTGCCTTTCTAATTTAGCAAATATGTTCGCGTAAACCCTGGATTTAAATGAGTAACGAGCGCAGTGCAAAGTAAATCTGCTAGTTTTATTATCTAAACAACCGTCATCTATGTACTAAACAACAACAAAATACCACAAAAAAATAATAATGCTTACCAAACAAACACGAAAACCCGCCAAAGTGCGGTCGGCAACTGTAAGCTTCAAAACTAATTTACACACCAAAATTTTACAACAAACTAAACCCAAATCCACGACGAATACAACTACATATGCTCCAAGTTGTAAGAACAATCAGGCGGATGTGGCGCACACAAGCATACATACTAATACATACATGTACTACGCACCCCCGCCTCTATACGTCTTTGCCCCTTCATCTGCTTCTGCACGTCTACTTCTCGGGTTGGTGGGGTTGTTTGGCCTAAACAAGTATAAAAAATGGCCTCTTAACTGTAAACTTGTGTAAACCGCAACAGCTTCTTCATTTCAACTTAAAAGTTTACTAAGTTTATCGTTGATAATAATAAATTAATATTATTATCATGCATAGAAGGCAACGCGAGGCTGTTTTATGCGAGTTTTGTCTCTATGGCGTTGTTGTTTTTTTGTTTTGGTATGAACCTTTGGTCTTCCCTAAAGTACTCTTCATTTGTGCTTTACAAAACAAAATTAATACTACACATACACACATATGTAAATATATATATTTGTAAATTTATTTGTGGCCACAAGACTTAACCAGTAAAACTGAGTTTCAGATAAAAAAAAAAGAGGAAACAGAAGAAAAATTATATGCTCTCCAAATGACGCCAAATAAATTTTGTTTAAAAATATTTTTATTCTTACCGCTTATGCGATTATAACCAATTTTAGCAATAACCAGCCAGTTGTTTCTTCCTTTCGTGTTTCGGCGTCCATTGGAGGCACCAAGAAAAACCCGTTCCATCTTGCTATTCATTTTTCTCTTCTCTCTTCCACCTCCCCTTCTCCTTTTCCCTATCCCTTTTCCCTCTCCCTTTTCATCTTCCTTTCTCTCTCTTTCTTTCTCTCTGTCTCTGTCTTTCTTTCTCTTTCACTGTCACTCTCTTTCTCTCTCTCTCTTTCCTTTTCTCTTCCTCTCTTTCCTTTTCTCTTCCTCTCTTTCTCTCTCTCTCTCTCTTTTTCCTTTTCTCTTCCTCTCTTTCCTTTTCTCATCCTCTCTTTCTCTCTCTCTTTTTCCTTTTCTCTTTCTCTCTCTCTCTCTTTCCCTCTCCCTGTCTTCCTCTCTCTCTTACACTCTCTCTTTTCCACTTCCTTTCCTATACGTCTTCTTCTTCCTCTTCCTCTCCCTTGCTCGCTTCGATGTATAGGGCTTAAACGAGACCAAAGTGAACCCTATCACTCCTGTCACCGGACCAATGCAGCGTCTTGCGATGAGAACTAGCCAATTTATGGCTACATAATCTGACAGCCGAGCTGCCATCAAATCTCTTCAGCGCAATTTTACCACGTCAAAAGTTGCCATAAAACTTAGAAGCATTCTTTATTGGCTCTCAAGTAAATGCAGCACGACCATGATACGAGTACCCAGACATATATAATTACCAAGAGAATTCTTCTAGATCGGTTATCAGTCAGCACCACCGCTGAAATTATATCAGGATGCTGTCACTGTAAAAGATGGATTGCTTCTCAAACGACTTTTGTCACAGCTGTATATATTATATAACAGTACGAGGTGAATGAAGGAGTTGTAAAGTTTGATCTTTGTTCGTGTAGAGAGGACTCTGCTTTTCAAAGCTATGACTGTTCGGGCTTCCAGGAGCACGAGTCCGCTGACTGTTTATTCAATGGCAAGACATAGTTCGTCTTGTTCTCCTACACTACGGGGAGCATTCGCTTCGCCACCTTATTGACTCTGTTTAAAATTTTAATTAGCTACGCAGTTGTTGTAAAGAGTTATCTTGTCTAAAACCACATTAAGTATCAAACATCTCGAAAATATCCTTCTTGATACTTACGAAGTTCAGCAAATCTTTGTGCTTCCTTTGTATGATCCCACTTTCTTTGGGATTATGTGGTTGGTACGCGGAAAAAGAGAGAAATAACTATTAATGAGTAGGTATTAGTAGTCGTAATTAGTATGAGTTGGGTCTATGGTTATTGGTTGGATTTTGATGAAGGGTTTTAGTCGCCTCTTAAGACGCCCAGCAGTTCTGCAACATATTGCTGAATGGAGTTCGCAAAGGTGAATGCTTCCTGCCTGACATGACTAGAGACTGCTCTGCTTTTTGTAGTTGTCTTTAAGCAGGGACCCTGAAATAATATCCTAACGAATGCATGCAGGACATAATGCTAAGGATCCATTAATTAAGTAATTGCGTTGTAATAATTAAAGTTTTCTAATATGTAATTTCTTCTGCACAGCAAAGAAGTGCTGCCAAGTAATTCACACAAACACTCTCTGGCAACTCGATGTCATTCTAATCAGCTGTTTGCACTTTAACAATTTGGTTTGTTTACAAAACAATATTCTTGTGCAAGAAATTTTAGTTCAAGCAGCAACAAAGAATTTTTATTTACTTGTTTTTAATATAGTAATCTAATTAATTGATAAAAATGAGCGAAAATACAACGCATTTGTCAACAGCGCCGAAGCGAAAGCACGCAGAGGAAGAAGCAGAGTCCATCGAAAAGAATGAGGACAAAACGACTGAATTGCTATCTGCAGAAAAGAAAGCAAAATTTCAAAAAGAAAAAGCATCACTTCAGACAGAAATTAATGAAAACCAAACCGCGCTTGATAACAAGCTAAAAACAAACGTTGAAATAGACGACCAAAAGCAGGGTCAGTCAGAGAAAAAAGATACACTGATTAATGTTGTAAACTTTAGTGAAAAAATACCGACGAATGAACAAGTGCCCACAGATACCGCTACAAATGAAAAAAACACTCCTAACAATGTAGAAGCCAATGAAAGCCCAAGTTTAGATAACAATTTAGAAATTACGGAATTAGCTAAAGAAGCAACAGAGTCAGAAATTCGTGCAAAAGCGCAAGATAAAAATCACAATGCACTAACAAAAGAAATTGTAACGACAGAAGATGCGAATGAAAGGACTATAGCACCAACTAATGTATACCGTGAGCAATGTCAGTCAATTTCTCTAGCAGGAAAAATACCTTTGACGGCAGTTAATGAAGAAAAAACTGTAAACGACATGGAAAAGCCCAATATAAGTATTAAAGCAAATAAGCTGGTAAAAAATTACATCGATAAAAATGTGTTAAGCGAAGGAAATCTTATAAGTTCACGCTTCAAACCTAAAGGCTACCCGCCAACACAAAAATTATACGCCGTACTTAAGGAACCCAAGCATTCAAAACCACCAGAACATATATTGCAGCGTGATGAAGCTACAAAATTAATGGCACAAATCAAATCCACACGCATTTTAATTCCATCATCTCTCAGTGTTACTGTGAAACAATGTACGGATACAAATGGTAATAAAAATTGTGTTCTTCCAAAAAAAGTTATCCAGCCAAGCGTTACGATAGTACCTATAGAAAAGAAAACAAAAGATTTGGAAGGTAATTCAAAAACTAATAATGGTGGTAAAAATAATATTGGCATTGCCTCTAACACAAAAAATATACCCAAAACAAACACAATCTCAAGAATGAAAGTTCCAAAAGAAAGTAATTCTTCCATTTACCCTACCGGATTAATTACGAAAAGAATGGTTGTAAAGAACATTTCAGGTGGCACATTGGCAACAACCAAAAAGGCCATGGTAAGCACACAACAGTTTACTCCAGCGTCTACTGCAACAACTTCACGAAAAATTATAGCGATTAACAGAAACAAACTGACGCCTATAAATTATAAAGCCCGAAACTGTGTGCTTTTTCCGTCACCTCATAATAAACCAAACGCCCACGATAAGCCGATAATAACTTCCGTCGAATACATACCAAAGAGCCATTTACTTTCTCTAGAGAGTGCTGCTGACAAATCAATAAATTCAAAATTATTGAGTGACGAAAAAGCTAATGGCATTCATATAAACGACTTTGGTATGGAAGACTTGACCATAACAGCAGACTCCATTAGCACAGCGCCGAAACCAAAAAAACTTAAGCTTTGTGATTCCGCAAGTATGCCGACCCTTACTCCTGCGTATTTAAAAGCACTTTCAGCTTATATAGAAGAAGCAAAAAAAGCACACAAAGCCGCATCGATTGACCCAAATTCGTCAACTGAAGAAAACTCAATAAACATAGATAAGAGCCTTGAAAATAATCCTGTAACTGAAAACTCGATCAGTAAAGAGAGCACTGACTTAGTGTTGGAAAATGAGAGCTCAAAAGATGGAAACAGTAAAGCCCATGCAGATGCAGTTGAACAGTTGGATGTAAAGAAAAGCTCACAGGACGAAAGCACTAAAAGCATGACAGATTCAGATGAGCAGCTGGATGCAGATAAAATCTCAAAAACTGAAAGCACCAAAAGCAATATAGATATAGATGAGCAGCTAGATACAGCAAGTGTTGCAGTTGAAAAAGAAGCGAATACAGATTCACTGGAGAATGATGATATCCGATGTAAAACAGTTGAAATAACTAATTATGAAGAAGCTGAAGCAGAGGATGGAAAAGAAGCTGAAAAAAAGAAAACCGATGCCAACCACGGTGAAACGGAGCAATGTGAGGAAAGAGAAACTCGTCAATTAAATGCCCTCGAATGCAAAGCCACAAAAGATGCAACGGGATGTGCAGAGAGAATGGATGTGACCGAAAGTAATGATATACAATGTGCAGCAGATATTCTCGAACAGCTAGATAATAAGAACGGCGAAAAAAATAAAAGCTCAGAAGAAAATATCACTCTAAAAATAGTTGCTGAAAGTGAGATTCCACAAATTAAAGCAGATGCAACAGCAAAAAATCGTGATGAACAATGTGAAATAGTTGTAGAGGAGAACGAGGATCTGCTCGACTGTGTTGAGGGCAACAGTGAAGGAATTCATGTAGAAAAAGAATATATGAACCAGAACAAGCCGCCTCATTGCAGCACAGATGAAAGCGAGAAAATGGAAATGGATGAAAGTAGTGGTACTAAAGATAAACTGAAACTAGCTACTGAAAATAAGACTCCTCAAATTGAAGCAGAAGTATGTGAGGTAGTTGAAAAGCGGAAATTGGATATTGTTGACGATGATGATGAAAATGAAAATGATGAAGTGGAAAAACAGATTATGAACCAAACCAATAGTGGTACTAATAAAGTTGAATTAAATATAGGTTCGGAAAATGTTTCTCCACAAAATGAAGAGAACAAAGAATGTAAACTTGTTGAAGAGAAGAACTCGAACTGTGATGAGATACAAAGTGAAGGAGTTGATATAGAAAACCATTGTTTAGAACAGAACAAAACTACACAATTTGACATAGCTGAAAGTGGTAAAATGGAAGTAGATGAAAGTGGAAACAAGCAAACTGTAGTTGATAACTCTGAAGATAATTCAGTGACGAATGATTCACAAAAAAACACTGTTAATAACGAATCGATAGTTCTTTCGGAAAACGAAAGTACTAAAGACAGTTATATTAACTCGAGCTCTAAAGATGAAGATATAAACTTCGATACTGGCAAAGGAGCCAAACAGACAGGAGATGAAACCGATAAAATTAACCTCATTCAAAGTAGTTTCGCACAATATGAGTATGAAAACAAGGGTATATCCGAAAGTTATGCTACTCAGGGTAAAGATGGCAATAACAAACTGCATTTGAATGCAAATAAGAGTGCAAAAAATGCAAGTGATGGCAATAATGTTGGTGTATCTTCACAGTACGAGATGGAAGGCACGCACACCATATCCGATATTGGAACTGTTTTAAACGAAACTGTAACTAGTGTTTTTAGTACCTGTGTTAATTCGAATAAATGTAATGCGTTTACACAGACCAATGATAGCATTATAAATTTACTTAAAAATATTTATGCTCTGAGGAAAAAAGTACGTAGACAAGCTGAAGAAATTGTATCATTAAACGCTGCTATGAAACTGTTAGATACAACTAGTCTATTGAAAACTGTTGATAATTGTTAACATTTTACAAAATAATCAGGTATATAAAAATGTAATTTATAATCAGAAAAACTATTTTTTTTTTTTTTTTTTGTTCGTAATCCTTTTATGTATACATATGCATTTTCGTTTGTTTTTGCTGCTAATGCACTAAATATTTATCGTTTCATTTACTTCTTTTGTCCCACTTTATATTGAAAAATCACCAATTGAAATAAACCTAACTTTGGACTAATATGACCGGAAATTTCATTTTAGTATCCGGATATTAAGGCGAAATTAGGACTTAGTTTGATGAGACAACTTCCCCTTTGAAATTACCTGATATATTATGGGCTTCAAATTGACGCACCTTCTATGAATTCGCCTTGGTAATAATAGATAAAAAAAATTCAATGTCAAAATAAAGCCGGATTCGGGTTGTGCGTTGTTTTGATTATATTACAAAATTTGCCTTGATATTACAATTACATATGGAAAATTAAAAATTTATGATAAACCGTTGTGCTTTTTGTAAGCGAAAATATGGGTTGTTGTGTTTTGTGTAAAAAAAAAGTAAAGCGAGGTGCTGGAGCATTTTTTCAAGTTCCCCAAGATGATGAAAGATATACACTCTGGAAGCGTATTTGCCAAAGGGAATTTAAGAAACGAGATTTGGTATGCGCAGACCATTTTTCGCCTACTGATTATATATTGGGACAAAAAAGGGCGACGTTACTGCCTAAGGCGGTACCAATACCACCGTCACCAAACTCAACATTTATTTCGCCTATTGAAGATGACTCTGTAGGTGATCAGGAAGAAGGGTGAGTCACACCTTTATTAAAATAAATGACTTTGTTTTTTTTTTATTATTCCTTGACATATTGACCACTTTGAAAAGTCATTCGAAGAAGTTTTCGGTTTTAGGAGCGAAAAATCGATCATTTCAACATCCCGATTGGGATCGAAAACTTTACCATTGAAACGGCTTTGAAGGGAGACAGTAAATAATAATGTAGTGTTACTATAGAGTAGATGTAGTATCTATTCTCATTTAGGCTCTTCTAATTTTTTACGGCTCCTCGGTTACATTACGCCATTGAACGTATTGTTACGATTTTACTAAATCAACCTCGATTATTTTCTAGATCCTTCGGGTACGATCTCTGGATTGTTAAATAAAAATTCGCCAACTTAATTTGCAGTTTCTTTCTTTTTAAAGAATTAATCTAATGTCTTTTATTTACTCCGTAATTCACAATACAATTACAATACACTCTACTATTTACAATCACTATCATCAACTTGCACAATTCACTCTACTTAAATGTACTTTCCAACGTGTTTACTTTACGACTTTACTGATGTTAACGCCAACGAGTTTACTTTATCACTAACTTGACTTGCAGCTGAGTGTCGCCTTTATATAGCAGTCGGCTGCTCGCAGACGAAAGCGTAGAAGCATCGAATTGTTCGCTATGGAAGGTTCTTGTTTTATCGTTTCTAGAACGTACTAGTTATCGGCTTCTCTCTTTCATCTGACATTCGCCTCGCATTTTCGCAACAGTATGTATATTAATAAAAGTGCGTTGTAGTAAACAATGCATTGCGTTTTTGTAAACTAAAAATTTTGACAATCTAAATTTAATTAATGAAAAAAGTTGAATTCGCTGCCATCTTAATTCGCCTTCTGCTGCGGCCAAGAAAAAGAAGTGAGCTGTTTTCATCATGCATTATTTACTGCAACAATATTTTTATTTTTTAATTTTAAAAATCTTTTTTTGCATAGTTATATTACAAATAAATATAGAGTTCAAGATTCAGAATGCGATATAGTTTTTGTCATAAATATTTTTGCTTTGGTCATTGGGTAAATTTGTTTTCCATATTTAAAATTTGCAATCAAATTGAAAATTTAAAATATTAAATGAAACAAGAAGAGTAAAGGCGCTTTTCTAAAAGACGTGAAGCTTGATAAGAACAGATGTGTTGAATTCGCCTAGAACCTGAGCGAATATGTATTTATTTATTAAAATTGTTTATGAAATGCGTGGACAATTTTCTCCGGTGTAAACACATTCGTTAGAAGAATTCATTCAACATTTATTTATAAGCAATTTACTGCAAAATAAACCAACTTTCTTAATGGAACTTGGATTTATCGAATTCATTATTAGTAGCTCTTCTCGTAATACACATAAATATAGTTGTTTTTTTATTGTTAATACTGACAGTATATATTTTCACATATTTCAGAATAACTAGAAGTTCTTTAAGCATGTCTAAACGTACGTGTATTATGGGTTGTCCACCTATGGGTCATCCAAAGTACCCATTTCCCTGGGATAAAGATAGGTAAGTATTGTGAGTAATTTAAACATCTCCAACTTAACAGTATTTTTTCCTATTATATTTCAGAAGCAGGCAAGTATCAAAGGAATATCTATATTTTATGCATGCCCAAACGCATATTGGAGACACGCGGGAAAGCATAAGTAGCCGATACAGTGGCTCAAACTTGCCGCTCAACCAAACAACCAACAACATTTTCACATATCTTCTTTTATTCCCTCTCCAGACGTAAAATGTGGTTTCAACAATTTACTTTGGATCCTGCCGTATACACTCAAAAATACCTCTACGCATGTCGCCGTCATTTTAGCTCATATATGACACTGGGTAGGAATCTGCGTCATAATGCCTACCCTGATGTGAATTTATATCCATTTAGTGCGAATCGGCCATATGCGGAAAAGTACAGTTATTACGAGAACGCATATTCAAAGCCAGACGAGCGATATCATGATAATGTTGGTAAGAAAGCAGAGGATTTTGTACAAACTCACGTTACAGATATACAATATGCGCCTGTATCATACCAGTTTTCGAAGAACAATTACCTCCATGAAAATGGAGCAAAAATAGTTACTCATATCGGTGCCAACGAACAGATAATAAGTACTAATCAACAGTCTGCAATAAAAATTGAAAGTAAACGAGAGTGTATTTTAAAATGTCCCGGTATGCACACATATTATCGTATACCATCAGCCGATACGGATTTAGAACTACGAAAAAAGTGGTTCTACTTGCTTGGCAAGGATCCTGCTTTATACACAAAAAATAATGTTTATGTCTGCAATTTGCATTTCGATGAGCATATGATATGTCTTAAGAGACTAGTACGTGGTGGTTATCCAAATAAGAATCTCCCGCCACCATTGCGGAAACCAGTTCCCGAAGCATGGGAACAGCAGACAGAATGCATTCAAAAATGTACAGATTATACAAGGAAGTATCCATTTCCATCTTATGGAAAAGAGAAAGTGAGGTACGTCCAAAATATTCTATTTTTATAATAAATATATTTTCTGTAATTATAGGGCTGTTGATTTAGTTGGCGTATAATTTTCCACAGATATTTATTTAACCATTTTCAGGCGCCAATCGTGGTTAAAACAATTTAATCGTGTTCCTGAACTCTACAAAGATGCTTATATCTACGCTTGCGATCGACATTTCACTGATCGAGAACGTGTTGGTCCATATTTATATCCAGAAGCCATTCCGGAACTAAATCTGCCACCAAACAATACCGCGAATGGATCACAAGCAAGCTATATAAGTAAAAAATGGTCACTGCAAAGATTAGATGCGTTAGCAAAGAACAAAACAGGTCAACCGCCAACAGAATATGTTCATACAACACAACAAATTACACGACCTCAGCCGCATCAACAGTCGCCTTTACACTCGTCTCAAAAACCCAATCAACAACCAATTCAACTGTCACTTCTTGGTCCATCACAAAATGCATCACGACAACCAATTCAGTTTTCAGTTATACAAACGCCTCAAAATATATCAACTCAACAACCGTTTAAATTATCACTTCTTTGCCCGCCTCAATATGCATCTCAACCAGTTCAATTATCACTTTTAAATCAACCTGCAAATACAACTCAAGAACCAGTAAAATTAACACCGATACGCCCAAAGGAGGATGAAATTTTAAAGCGTTTGAAAATGTTAAAAATGCAGCACATGAGTACCGACTCATCCAGAGCAGAAGAATATGTTAAAATACAAACATTAGGCGTATTTGTACCACATAAAGATGGCCATTTTGTGGCAATGAACAAAGTTTTATCATCTATCGATCCTTTGGATACTAAGCAATATGCGCCATTAGATTGGGTGGAACCTATCGAGCCGCAGTTGCCTATTAAGGCGCATCCCATACCAAAAGAACTTTACGAAACTACAGATGAAGAGCTTAGTGATGGTGACATTGAGGTAGCAGAAAGTCCAGAGTATTTAGAATGGTCAGATGAGGACACCAGCGAAGTTAAGACAATTACTGGCAAGCGAATAAATGAAAACTTAATAAACTATGGTAATACAAAATGCCTGAAAATCGCAAATCAACAAGATAGAATTGAAGACGATGAGGTGCAATATAAAGTGGATGATCCAGTTGTGGTTGATACCATTTTGGATCAATTGACAGCTGCTTTCCCCAAAGACAATAAAAAGTATACCATAGTGCTTGCCAAAAATAATACCGTTATCGAGTGTAAAAAACAACCGGAAACAACAAGCGAACCCCTAAATATTATAACGCCCACTATTGCGCCGCAAGTTGTTACGAAAGTGTTAGAGCCCACCGTGAAGACTATAACGCCTAAAAAAAAGAAAGGATCTAGCGATGAAATAGATTTCGAAGATATGATTGTTGGACAACAAATACAAAAAAATGATGAATATATGCGTGACAAAGAAAAAATGCTAACGACAGCGGTAGTTTCAGCTGAAAATTGGCAGCAAGTAATGAGTGCCATAAAAGAAGCAACGCCAAACACTGGATTTGCGGAAAGTAGCGAATGTGATAGTGATGAAGTAGCTAAAAGAGTAAGAAAAATGGTTGAGGAAATCAAGCAAGCTTGCGAACGGGATAAACAAGGTATAGGTGACGCGAAAATTTCTAAGAAAGTGAGCGAGCCGTCAAAGACTGGTGAAAAAATGGTGAAGTTTGTAGCAAAGAGCATGCCGGTGTGTAATCAGCCAGCAGTTATTACGGCAGAAACAATTAAAAATAATACAAATCCCAATAGAGTGATAATAAAAAGTATAGAAATAATTAAACCAGCAGATATTGGCATAAAAGTTTCAAAGGTTATGGACAAACGTGCAACCGTTAAAAGTGTGACGAATTTAAAAACGCACGCTGAGCAAATTGCAACACCGCAGCTGAAAAATGTGAAAATTGCATCAGTAATGGTGCCACCAACAAAGGCGCAAGTTATATCACCAAGTAGACCTACCGCCATAAAAGCTCCCATATTGCAACCAACTGAGTACGTAAACCACCACCACAACGCAAATGAGGATGAATTCGAAAATGTTAGTATTGAAGATTTATTGGCAAAAGCGAAACGTTTGATAAACGAAAGCGACACCAAAGTACCTAATAACTCCGAGCTTTTATTAGACAATGCGGCGCTACTGGAAGATGATGCAGTACTCAATAAAGATGTTGCTATTGATCAGTGCATCATAGATGCTGCTGATACCACATATAACCCTCCTCTACCCTCTTGTATTTTTAAGTGCATAGACTTTGTGAAGCTCCACGCCTTTCCTTCAGCCGAAACATCTACGTACCGTCGTCATTTCTGGTTTATGGAACTTGGCTTAGACATTTCAGTTGATTGGCTTAAACCACTGCACATTTGTGATAAACATTTCGATGAGAATATGTTTTTGACTGATAATACACTTAAAGAATTCGCATATCCTTGTAAAGAGCTTAAGCCACCTCAACCCAAATCATTTCGTGTAGGACGCGCCGCTCAAACTCGTTATGTGGGTGATCAATATAAACAAAATTTGTTGGATGAATTGACAAAATTGAGTGATTTAAATAATCGACAAAATATTGAATTAAATAGAATTAAAGTTTTGATACGCCTCAAGCAGGAGGCGGCACGTTTAGTGGCCGAAATCAAGACTGCAAAAGAGTTGACAACGGAGCAATTGAATAATTGAAGTTGGGAAGATTTTCAATAATATATGTATTATTTTATAATACATATTTTTTTATTTAAGTGGCTGTAGCTAATATAATAAAGTTTATGCTTAAGCATGTAAATATGTAAAAATACACATGTGTGTCTGAAAAAAAATTAAATAAAATGAATTAATATTTTTACAAATTTTAATTTCCGCATTTGTTTCTGAATTGTTGTTGGTCTAGCAACGATTTGAGGGCATGCAGCACAAATGTCCAGTTCCTTACCTGCCACTGTCCAGCTAATTGATAATAATTAAACATAAAATTTATGTAAAAAAAAAATATTACTAATAAAAAAAATTTCTTTATTAATTACTTTTAACAAAAAAATATTTTAATAGCAAAAATTATTTTTAATCAAAAAATTCTCGGTATAATAGTATTGTACTAAAAAAATGCAAATTTAAACTTATTTTTTTTTTAATTATTGTACATTTTTTATTTTTATTTTAATTTATTTTGGGAAATATATAATTGTTTTAATTACACAATTATTTGCATCTTATTTCTTACATGTATCCGCTGTAACTTCAACTAATAATAAAATATATAATTAAATATATATAAAATACGCACCTAACTCACTTACAGAAACTCAGCCGCAACATTGCTTTCATAACCCACTTAAATATATACTTTCATTGTGTTTTGAAAAATTGTTACAAATTTCATTGTTCAATTTTAATACAATTTTTAAAATTAATTATTTTGAAATTATATAAAATATAGCAAACTTAGTTTTTTTTGTTTTGTTTTATTGAGGAACAATAATTTAATGACAATTTTGAAACGCCGCAACTTTTCGAATTTACGATGCATTGAACAGCCACACAAAACCTATTCAAACCTAACTTTTTGAGTTTACTTTGCAATTTACGCTGCAATTGTTATGCATGCACACGCAAACATTCAAACATAGTTCTTATTTTAAATACATATACATATAGTAGATGTACACATATTATTATTAATTCATTGTATCAATATAGCTTTCTCTAACTCTATATATGTAAATTGTGATTTATTCATACCAAAAAAATCATATTTACATTTTGTGTGCTCAAAATTATTGCAATTAAAAGAAAAATGTGTTAAATCTATTATTTATTTTTAAAAGCGACCACTGAAATAAGTAAAAAAAGACCAATATACATACATACAGTCAAAAGCTTACTTCGCTGTTAAGAAATTCGAAGATATCTAATTGTTATATCCATGAAAAAAATCCATTTTTTTTATTTTAAATAACTTGATTATTTATTTATATATTTTATTGTTTGGTTTAAATTTTAAATATTTTATTATTTATATATATTTATATATATATATATATTTTTTTTTTTTTTGTTGTTTAGCATAATATTCTTAGTATTTTTCCATGCTTGCAACAAAAGAGAAAAACAAATTTTCACTAACTTAACTTAATAGTTTACTTACAAGCTAATATGCTAAAGTTACACAAGTGTCAAAAAAAAAATTCCATAAGCTACTTATGAGCCAAAATCTATATATTTATTTATATAGTATTTCTTTTTGCAATTCTTGTTCTTCATTATTATGTATAGTTTCCTAATTAATAACTTCCATAGAAAATTGGAAGCATCCGCTCGTTAAGTGCCCACACGACACTTTTGTTGCACTTGTCATTAATTAAATATTACTAATATTTATTTTTACTTTATTTAAATTCAAATATCCAATAAGCGCAAAAATATTTTTTTTTTATAATAATTAAATAAATCGGCATTTAAATAGCTAACGTTGTTTGTTTTCTTTTCTTCTTTTGATTTAATTCGTTATACAATATACAATATTTATAATCGTAATAACGCACCTAAAAACACACATTACCACTTTCATTATATTTAATATTAAAATTTACAAAAGAAAGTTAAAAATAACAATTATGATATTTAAAAAGGAAACGAAATTGAAAGTACTAATTTTTTGTTTATTTTATTTTTTTTTTTTTGTTGTAACAATAATGCATTGTTACAGCTTTCTTTTACTTTTTTTTTGCCTTTTCACGCTTGCTCTTGGTTTTTTCTTTAGTTATTTGCATGCATTTTTAAGTCTATTTTTTTTAGTGTACATTTTTCCGCAACCAATCAATGACTAATTCAGTGTTCGTGTTCAATGCATTATTTGTTTGAAAATTAAATGAGAAATTTAATTTTCTTTTTCTAACCAATATTTGGGAAAAATGTTTTTCGCTTCAAATGTATGTTGTTTATATTTTGTTTTGTTTTTGTTTTTGTTTTTGTTCTACGAAATTTGCATAGCAACTAATTTAGTGCATTGACTTTCATGACGCATACATGCGACTAATATCATGTTGGTATTTATCTTGGATCTCCTTGCGTTTCAGTTTGAAAGCGGCCGTTACCAGACCCATATCGGGTGACCAAACTTCCTTGCACAATGTAATGGCGCCGGGTACTTCATGTTTTTGTAATTTACCTGCATGAGAGAGAAATTGAAATAAGCAAATTTTAGTCCCGTCCCTTTAGGTTTAGCTTTTTTCTTACAACACTTACATTTCCTTGAATGGTCGGCAATTTCTTTAATAACTGCCTTCTCCATTACAGGCGATGCGCATAGATCTTCGAATGAGTGGCCTTTCAAACCATTGCGTTCGGCCAATTCTTCGAGATGCTTGTGATTGGGCACCACTAATGCCACTGTAAATTGTTTGGATGGATCACCGTAAATGCAAATATTCTCCACAATTGGGCAGGTCTTCAATTCAGATTCAACCTTGCCAAGTGAGACGTATTCGCCAGCCTGTAATTTAACCAAATCCTTTTTGCGATCTATGGGAGAATAAGAGAAGTGGAGTTCTGAGTTTTGAAGATTTTAAATCTAATAAAAATTTGTGTGTTTAAATAGAGAAAATAAAACACGCGAAGTTAGAAGAAATCAAAGGCAATTCGTTTAAAATCACCTATTAGAGGAGGTCAATTGAAAATCAGCGCAAAGCAATTATCTTTAAATCCTAACATAAAACGCCAAGAAGCTATACTTAAATCGTTAACTACAAGAGCAAAATTAGATATTTGCGGTCAATACATCTATGTATGCAGTTTTGTATATATTCAACACAAAAGACAAATGAAATGGAATCTTTTTTTTATTTATTAGTTTTATTTAATATTACCTAGTTTTTTTCTTAGGTTCATACTTATAACCTAATTTAAATATATATATACGTAATGCTTACATTTTTTTAGTGTAAATCTTATTTTAATTATTTATAAACAGTTTTTTTTTGTGTATTTTCCATGCTTGTAGGCAGGCATGCCTTCCTTGTGCAGTTTCGTTTTCGTATATTTGTACATATAAAATTATGTACACTAAACTGCAGTATTTTTCAACATAATTAAGCGCTCCAAATATCGCCATAATCCATATTTCATAAGTATTTGTGAACCGTAAATATATCTTCATAAATCTTGTTATTTACGAGCAGAGCGATACTTCTCACCAACTGTGAATTCCGTCATACCTTTCCCCGATACACCACAAGTGCCAATACCGACACGTCCGGAAACTGTATCTGGAGTGGAAAATATGCTTTTCACCTTCATGCCAGGCTTCTTTATATTCTTACTAGTGAAATTAAGCCATTTCTTTTTATCATGTTCACGTTCTTCTTCCAATTCCTTAACTCTTTGTAATTTCTTTTGTTTTCGTTTCTTCAAATATTCCTTTTGATTTGGATGGTGACGCTTTGACGTTGATGGGAATACTTCATTCCGTGTTGTGCATGCACGTAATTCAGTTACTGTTGTTGTGGCACGATTTTGGTAGGTATCAAACACTACATTGACTTCACCATCTGCGCCTATGCCTTCAATAGTTGCATCATAGTATTTACCATCCTCTAGCCATTTGGCCTGACATTTGTCACCGACTTTCCATTTTTGTGTTGTTGTTACCAATTTCTCTGCTTCCAAAAGTGCCGCTTCTACTTCATCATAATATTCAGATATAGAAGCACCGGTTGACGGCTCTATGTATGCAGACTTTTTCTGTTCTTCAAGTTGTGTTCTGATGAGGTCTTTTGTTAATTCAATAACTTCTACAAGATCTTCCTTTAGTTTTAATAATTCTGCATTGTCAGGATCTGTTTGTAAGCCCGCTTCAACTTGCTGCAACTGCAGTTTATAATTCTGTAGATCTTCAGACATCTCGATAACTTGTTTTCTTTTTTTTCCTTTTTTTCTTGTTTGCTTCTATACACGACGAGTATTTATTGCGTACTAATTTTACTTTTATTTGTTGAACCTTTTATATCCTTTTTCGCATTTACGCGACTATTGTTGTTTTTGTATTACAGGCTTTGTGTATTTTCATTATTTACGCGTGAAATTTTCTTTTCAATTCTATTTAATTGAACCTAACCTTTTCAGGCAGCCCTTCTTATGGTTGTGAAACGTTTAAACATATGTATGTGTGTGCATAATTAACGAGAGTAAAAGAGATAGAAAATATTTCGTTACATGCGTTGATGTATCCCATATGAAAGAGTGAGACAACTATATTAAGCACAGCGTTGCATTTCCTATCGAAGAAGTTCACTTGAAATTAAAACGAGTTTACACACGATTAACCTTACTTATCAGCTGGTCGAAATACATAAGATCACGCGATGAAATGAAATAACGATGATGAAAAATTTTTACAATTTTGCCTTCAACTAGTTTGATAGATTGTCGTAAGCACACTTATATAAATATTTTCAGGCATTCTTTTAAAACAGGCGGGTATGTTCGTTCAGCCAAGCATGACTAAAGCGTGACACAACTAACGTGTCGACCAGGGTTGCATATTTTGACAGATACACAGAATTTTTTTTCATCAGCTGTTTGTAGTAAAATTGTCAAATCATCGTTTTGTAAAATGGCAACTTTATAAAAGCTGATGCGTTTGTAGTAGAACGAACACCAAGGCCAATTCAAAGGTGATGCTAGTGAATGCTTGTTCTTACTTCTATGCATTGCCAAGTTTTCTGTTAGTGGAAAGATGCTTGATTGTCAGATTGCTTTGTAAGAGCGTAAAATTGTTTCCATTTTCTCACAAGTGCAAAAAAATCACTAAAATAATGCTGGTAATGCCCAGTGCGTTAGGTACCCGGAGTTTACAAATCAGCCGTTTTATTCATTTTTATTGTTTTGATAGCTAATGCTATATCGACAGAGAGAACTTTTCTGGAACTCTTGTGCCACTTTGTATGTCAGATGGACATGCAAATTTACTGAATTTTTCAATAAGCTAATTTTTTATTTACTTCCGAAAAATCAATAAAATTGTCATTCAAATGGAGTTTTACTACTTTATAGTCACCCTAATGCTCACGTATACCCACCCAAGAGATGTAGCTAGCACAGCACCTTTCTTTTTCTAATACATACCTGAATTTGTTGGATAAATTCGAACCTTGGTTATCATTAAACGTTATAGTTCAAAATTATACAACCCTAACTTGTTTTTAATGTATATAAAACAAATATAACACGTATAGCTTCCTGAGGTAGAAATACTAATATTATTAAAAAAAAAAAAAAAAGACTTACCAATGATTTTAAGTACACCGTCTGGATGAATTTCACCAATATCGCCAGTCTTGAACCACTGTCTGCCATCCTCTTCAAAGAAATCCTCGGCTGTTTTGTCGGGTAGCTTGTAGTAACCTTTTGAAACATTATCGCCGCCTATTATCACTTCGCCCTAAAATAAAACAAAATGAAAAATTCTTTCAACATACTATTCAAACATACAAAAACAAGCTGGCTAGCTAACCCACCTGTGGATATGGTTTATTTGTAATGCGATATCTACCCTCCTCCCAGTTAACCAGACGCAGATCACAGACTGTTAATGGTGCACCAGTGCGACCATAGCTCATATCACGACCTAAAAAATTAATTTTAAAATACATTATAAAAAGTCAATTTAATTTGCTAGCTGTATAAGCACTTACTGTCCATAACCGCTGCACCAGATGTAGTCTCTGTCAGACCATAACCTTGTACAACATCGACACATAAGCAAGTTTTAATTTGTTCATGTGTGTCGGGGGAGAGTGGCGCACCACCGCAGAGAACCAAACGTACGCGACTACCAAGTAATTTGGAGACCTTTTGGAAAACCAATCTATGTGGTGGGATGAGGGCGGAAAAAAATAATAAAAATTTATTATTAACAAATAATGTAACCAATTTTTCAATTTATTTTGCTTACTTATCAACCAGTGGCGTCTGATAGCCACGGTTCGTCCAATTCACTTTATATTGGTAGAGGAATTTGAAGAGCGCCTTCTTGAAAGCCGAACCCGAGTTGACTTTATCATTAATGCCCTTGGAAATACGATCCAAAATTAACTAAAAAGGAAAGAAATGAAAAGATTATCAACGATGAAACAGAAGTGAAAAAAGTTTGAAGATAAGTGCCTACAAGAACAAGAAAATCTTTGCTATTTATCAAAAATTGAAAAACTCACCGGCACGGATGTCATGCATGTCGGCCGCAAAACAGTAGCATCACCTTTGCTGCCACGCATAATTTTACTGCTTGTATCAATCAATGTCAATGGTGTGGAATAGCCAATGGGCACGCCAGTCATCAGGCATACACTTTCGGCGAGTAGTTCGAAAACATGCGCCAGTGGTAGGAAGCTGAAGAAAGTAGTAATTAAAAAAAGTCGGAATTGATTATCAGACTATATTTAATTTTTTTTTTTTTACTTACCCAATGAGCACATCATCGGGTTTTACTGTCACAACATCACAGAATCCCTTCATTGTGGCAATGCAATTATTATGTGACAATAGAACACCCTTTGGTGTGCCAGTTGAACCCGATGTGTACATGATGATGGCTGTATCCTCAGGCTTGGGTGGAACGCTTTCTGTGAAATGGAAAAGGAAGAAATAGTTTTTAACTGTTAAATATTCAATTTATTTTTGGAAAAATATGCATTTTTTCGTATTTTTTATTCAATACTCTTATTATCTTCTTTCTTTTTTATTATTATTTTCATTCCCATTTCTGTTTTTATTTGTTACTATTTTTAGTTTTTATTTATATAATTTTTTGTTTCTTATATTTTGTTTTTGTTATTTTTTATATATTTATTTTGTTACTTTTTCAATTCATTGGTTAGTTATAATTTTTTATAGTTTTTATTTATATTTTAGTTTTTATTTATCTTTATTTTAGTTCTTTTTTCCTTTTTATAGGTTTTGATTTTTTTTATTTTTTTAATTTATTGAATTTATATTTTTTTTTATTTGTATTTTTTTTTTTTTAATTTGTATTTCTATTTTTTTTTTAATTTGTATTTATATTTTTTTTTAATTTGTATTTAAATTTGTTCTTTATTTATTTTTATTTAGTTTTTTTTTTGTTTTTTTTTTTTNTTTTTACTTTCATTTTTTAGTTTTTATTTTTATTTTATTTTTTTAGTTTTTCTTTTTATTTTGTTTTTTAGTTTTTCTTTTTATTTTGTTTTTTAGTTTTTCTTTTTATTTTGTTTTTTAGTTTTTATTTTTATTTTCCGCTTTTAGTTTTTATTGATATAAAACAAATGATGACTCACCAAACTTGCTCTCCTGTCCCATACGCACAACTTGAGAGAACGCAATTACGCGTACACCGTTCTTGAATCCATTTGTGTCGGTCTTATGCAATTGATCTTCCATATAGATAACGGTATCAACTTTAGGACATTTATCCAACAACTGTTTGAATTTGGGCAACAACTCATGTGATGTAATTACAGTGGTGACCTCGGTTTCGCTGATACCTGAAAGAGGCAAAAGAATAAAATTAAATAAAATTATTAAAACTAAGAAATAACCATATATAACAGTAATTAATGCTACTCACAATGCGCCACACCATCATCACCCAGTGTCGCGTAGACGGTAACTATGGGCATAGCCTGCTTGAAACAACCATGGGCTGCAATCATCCATTCGGCACGGGTTTCGGCGAAAATTACAATATTCTGACGTGCGTTCTGGCCACATTCACGCAGACCGCGACCAAAAGAGGTTGCCATGCGATCGGCTTCAATGAAATTCTTCCACTTATATTCGCCCATATTGTATTTCTTGAAAACGCGTCCATTCGGTTGCACCTCATCCTCCTCGCTGAGTATCTGACGTGTACCGAAGCAACGTTTGTTTGAATGCACTTTGGCCACATAATTGAACATTTTCTCCAATGTGTCGATGTTGTTTTGCAGCATCTTTACGTGTACCTCGCGAGGCGGTTCAATGGTGCGATAAGTCAACGAATGTTCATCGGAATGGACGACACGCGCCTAAAAGTTAATAGAAGAAATTAGGAATTAGTTTATTATGTGCGATAGATAATATATATGCGGGTACATAAGTATAGGTATAAGGGAGGGTGGGGTTGCCCAGTGATTATTTGCTGTAGGCGCTCCACCAAACACCATTGTGTTTTGTAATTGCAATAAGAAACCATTGTGAGACGATTTGCGGAAACTGATATTTAAATACATACATATACATATGTATATAGGCCATATGAGGGTGGTTAATAAATTAATAGGGTGGTGAAAAATGGTGAAAGGATATGTTTAAATTTCAATAAATGGTGCTAAAATTAAAAACTAAAATTTATATATATATTATATATATATTTATAAAAAAAGATAATAAAAATATAACAAATGAAAAATAATAACAAAAGAAATTAAGGAAATAAAAGTAAAGTAAAAATTGAATAAAAAGGATATTTAAAAAAAAAAAAAGAAAATAGCTATAAATAAAAAAAATTTGTATATTAATATATAAAATTAAAAAAAAGTAAAGTGAAAATAGAATAAAAAAGTATATTAAAAAAAAAAAAAAATTGCTAAAAATAAAAAAGCGATTTTCGCAAAAAACACTTAAAACAACATTTTAAATAAATATTATATAATAGTATCTATTATCTAAGATTTGAAATACATATCTTTACGTAATTTTAAACAATTTATTAAAAAAAAAATATTTTGTGTTCAAATTTTAGGCATGCGTTTGAAAACTTTTTTTTTTTTTAATTTTTAAAAAATTCAACAAATAAATTTTTAATTTTTTCCATTATTATTTACATTTTTTTTAATATTTTATTTTTTAAATTTCTCTATTTTTTATTTATTAACATTTTTTTTATTTTTAAACATTTTTTTTTTATTTTCAAACATTTTTTTTTTATTTTTAAACATTTGTTTTTATTTTTAAACATTTGTTTTTATTTTTGCAAATTTTTTTTCTAACTTTCACAATGAATTCAGAATATTTTTACTTTTTCTGACATCAAAGTTAGTTAATCTCTTTTCATAATTGAAAAATATTAACTTTTGGTTGGAACATTTTTTTTAAAACACTAGGTTCAACTCTAAAACGATTGTAGTAACTGTAACCATTTGGATTTTTGGGTTAGAAGGATTATGTGGAAATCATTTATACTTAATTCTGCTACTTGAATGTATTGGTAAACTACAAATGGTAAATAATAAATAAAAATATACGTACGAGTAGTATATACACCGAAAATGTGATAAAAATGTATTTTGGAATTTTTTGATTTTGAAAACAAAAAAAAAAATTAATTGAAATAATTAGCCAATTTAGAAGTCAATTCAGACAGAGCAAAAATTTGTTCAATTGCACATAAACAATAACAACATACTATATATACATGTGAGTGTAATGCAAATAAACCATTGGGAATAATTATAAACAAAAAATAATAATAGTTGAAAGAAAACCATAATAAACAAAAGAGAGGACAACAACAATGTATGTATGAATGAGAGAGCAAAAAACCTCAATGTCATCGGCGGCATATCTCGGTTTCTCGTCCGTGTCTGCTTCCAATTTCTTAACTGGAACAGCCTGGCGCAAAAACAAAAGACATGAGAAGAAGAAGAAGATGCAAACAATAACAACAAAAAATAGATAATGAAAGGGCAGGGAAATACATACGTATATAGCATTACATATACAGATATGTTATGATTAATAGCTGAGCAGGTAGCTACGTGTATGTATGTATATATGTATATATGTAAATGTAATACATACTTATGTACTTAAAGTGTACACTTTTATTTACCTACTAAATTACTCTCTCTCTCTCTCTCTCTTAGGAGTATTTGCTTTTATCATTTTATTATTGGATGGTTTGATTAAAAATTCATTAAAAGCTTTTAAAAGTGTTATTGTTATGTCGACCATAAATTTATCGATCATAAAAATTTAGTAACTAATTTTTATATTTATTGTTATGTTAAGGAATTTTTTAGATTAGAATTTCCACTGGTAAATTTAAAGCAAAAACATCATTTAAAATTTTTTATAACCAAAAGCGCTTATCTACATACACATGTAAATATGTTAAAAAAATTTTATTGAGTATTGTTATAAAGGTCAATTTTTTTTTCTATTTATTCCTAATTAAACACTATGTTGCCTTCAATTTAAGTCTTTTTTTATATAAATAATATTTTTCGAAATCAAATTTATGCCACTCACAAACATGAATAGAATAGAAATATATGTGATCCCAATGATGAGCTGAGTTAATCTAGCCGATTCCGTCTGTCTGTCTGTCTGTTCATCAGTTTGAACGCAAACTCATCTCTCAGTTTTTCAGATATTTATACGTATACATTATATGTAATTGGATTATTAAGAATTCTTCGGCACCAGCAAGATCGGACGACTTTTACATATACGTAGCTCACAAACAAAACAACTGATTCTTCAGATATGTTATTCAATGTCATATAATCAACAATTAGTGCTAGAAAACGACATTTTGCTCACATCTTACAGATGAATGATATTACCAAAGTTTCTAAAAATCCGAAAAATATAACTTATAGCTCCTATACAACTGATAATTAAAGAGTTGAATGGTTAAATTTAATTAAATTACCGACACGAATGAGTTGTAAAAAGTTGCTATAAATAACATAATAATATTTATGAATAATATATACCAAATGTGTGAAGGGCATAAAAATTTCGGCATGGCCGATTATAGCCATTATTTTCCTAGTTAACAATAATTTTAACTTAAATAAATGTTCGATTTGATCTTTTTTTTTTTAATTTTTATGTTATATATTATTTTTAAACTTATTCATTCAAAAAAGCTAGTTCTTATTTTATTTATTTTGAGTTTGGTTAATTATTTATTTATTTTGAGTTTGGTTAATTATTTTTTTATTTTTAGTTTTGTTAATTATTTATTTATTTATAGTTAGTTTTCATTCAATATTTTTTTAATTTTGTATATTATTTATTATATATATTTTTTTATTTGTAGGTTTTTAAAACTATTTCATTTTTTAATTTTTTTTAAATTCAAATTTTTTCTTTTACCTTTTTTTATGTTCTATTCTTTTTATTTTTTTATCGTTTTTCCTTTTTGTTCTTTTCATTATTTTTTATCTTTTCTTTTGTTAATTTTTATTTAATTTTATTTTACATTCTTTTATTTTTTTTAATATTTTTTTTCTCATTTTGTTATCTATTATTATTTTATTTTTTATTCCTATTTAATATTTTTTTAATTTTTTATTCCCATTTAATATTTTTTTAATAACTTATTCCTATTTAATAATTTTTTTTTACTCCATAATGCCTTTTAAACTTTTTATATTTTTTATTTAATTTTTATTTTTTTAGTCCTATTTAATATTTTTTTTTACTCCCCAATGTCTTTTCAACTTTTTATATTTTTTTAATCTTTATTTTTTTTATTTATTTAATATTTTTTAAGTTTTATAATCTCATAATCTTTTCTTTTCCATTTTATTCTTTTTATTTTTCTGTCCTTTTATTTTTTATTTTTTTTTCTTTTTATTTTGCTGTCCTTTTATTTTTGATTTTTTTTTCTTTTAATTCGTATCCATTTAAAAATTTTATTTGAAATTTCTTTAGAATTTTTTTATAATATTTTTCAATTTTTTACACTCATTTACATTTCTATTTTCAGATTATTTTTTTCTTTTCTTATTTCTCTTGTTATATATGGTTTCCTTTTATTATTTAATAATTTTTAAATTTTTTATTTGAATAGTGTATTTCTTATATTTTATTTTTTTCTATTTTTTTTTTTTCTATTTATTTTTTTTTTTTCTATTTATTTTATTTTTTTATTTATTTATTTTTTTCTATTTACATTATTTTTTTATTTATTTTATTTGTCCTATTTATTTTATTTTTCCTATTAATTTTATTTTTCCTATTTATTTTGTTTTTCCTTGTTTATTTAATTTTTTTTTTATTTTTTTTTTGTTTTCTATTTATTTTTTTTTTTTAATTTATTTTTTTTTATATTTTATACGTATGGTACATACATATTTGCCTATTGATTGAATTACTTTTATATTTATGTATTTACTTTTTATATACATATTTATTTTTGTATGTTTTTATTTATTACTACAACATAATACATCTAAATTTCAATGTATTATAATTAGCACACAATATCTTTTTTTTAAATTATTTTACATTATTAGTTTAAATTTAAACGACGGCAAGTTTCAAAAAAAAAATTGATCAAAATCTAAATCAAAACCTAAAACTTTAACAAAAGTGGTAAATTATTATTCAAGGTTACAACAAATTTACATTTTTCTAGATGATTGAAATCACAAAATTTACCTAAAATCAAAATTTAATTTTAACCTTAAAATTTTTCATTTTCCATTAATCTTTTTTTGGTATACTTTTGAAAATAGTTTGCTTTAATGCGTATTTTCTTTTTATTTATTTCTATACATTTTTTATTTTTTATGATAACTTAAGTAAATATGTATTACGAATCAAACGGAAATGAGAAGTACTGGACTGCAGAAGTCTCAAATATATTCGAACTTTTGATAAATTATAAATTTATTGTAAATAAAATGTCAAAAGGTTATTTAAAAATAATTAAAAACAAAAAGTTGAAACGCATAAACAAAAAATCAAATGTTGAATAGAGAAAATTGTCAACTCCCAACTAAAACGCATATTTAAGTTATCATAGCCAGTTATTTAACTGATTGATTAACCATTAATCGATTTATTGTTTAGAGGTAACCATAGACCTGCAACTGACTAACCCTAACCAATATTTTATTTAATAAATCTGACGTTTTATACATTTTTTATACACTAAATACAACGTTCAAAACTATTTTAATCATTGAAATCTTAGAATTTTGTATGCAAGTAAGTTTAAGAACCCGTATTTTGATTGATTGCATGGCATTTCTCCAAACGCAAGCACAGTCTGCTCTATTATCACTGCTGTAAAGCACACATATCAAGAGTATGTCAACAGATTGCATGCTCTCCTCAAGTGTCAGGTATAAAGTCTAAAGTATAAAGTATAAAATTTACTAGACGAAATTATTTCCTGTAATAGTTTTCGCCAACCTAAGCAAATACAAGGGTCAACCACATGCTGACGGACTGCAAAATAAAAACAATAACACATACACACACTAAAACAAAGCTAATAAAACGCTTTAGTTAATTAGACAAACAAATAGAACTGATAATTACTAGTAAATAAACAGTTACGTTTGTATTATAATTAATAAAAATGAAAACTTTTATGTAATACAAAATGTTCTTTACATTATAAAAAAAAGTTGATAAAAATAGAGAAAAATGTGTAGTGTTCAAAGCTAACATCATTTTGCGTAGGCTAAAAATGAAAAACAAAAACAATGACTAAGCCATATAGATAGTGATTTAAAAATGAAATATATACGAGTATGTATTTTGATTGTAAACTTATGAAGGAAACTTAGAATGTGAATACGCTTTTTATTTACTAATTATATAAATTTTTTATTTATTCATTTATTTTTTTTTTTATTTTTAACTTTTATTTTTTAATATTATTTCCTTTTACTTTTTATTACTCTGCTTTTATATTGCTTTATAAATATATATTTTTCTAATAGTTTAATTTTAATTTTTAATTTATTTCTATTTTTTATTTATTTCAATTTTCTGTTCATTTTTATTTTGCATTTATTTATTTTTGTTATTCATTTATTTACTACTTATTTATTTATTTCTTATTCATATATTTTTTATTTACTTATTAATATTATTATAATTTTTTATATATATTTTGTAACTTTTTTTTACTTAATACATTTTTTATATGTTTCTTTATTTTTTACTACAATTTTTTAAATTATATTTTTATATATTTTCCTCAATTTTTTATAATTCTCACCTTTACATTTATATTTTTTTAAGTTTTATTATTATCATTATTTTTGATTATTTACTTTTTATTTATTTTTTTATTTTTATTTATTATTTATTTAATTTTATTATTTTTTATTTTTCTCTGTTATTTTTTAGTTATTTTTTTATTTTACTCTATTATTTTTTAATTTTTTTATAATTTTTTTCTTTTTTTATTATTTTTTATTTTTTTATTATATTTTATTTTTTTTTTATTNATTATATTTTTTTCAATTTTTTTTTTATTTTTTTTTAATTTTCTTTTATTTTTTTTCTATTTTTTTAATTTTTATTTTAATTATTCTCTATTTATTATTTTATTATTTTTATTTATTTTTTCATTATTTCATTTTTTTTTGTTTTATTTTCAATTAATATTTTTTCATTATTTTATTTTTTTTGTTTTATTTTCAATTAATATTTTTTCATTACTTTATTTTTTATCAACATTTTGGTTTATTTTTCATATTTTGATTAATTTCTTTATATTTGGTTTAATATTTTATATTTTGTTTAGGTTTATGTATTTTGTTTAAGTTTTATATTTTATTTTATCTTTAGCATTTTTATTATTTTTTATTACCTATTTTAGTATTTGTTTAATTTCCCGTTTTTTGTATTTCTTTTTTTGTTTTTCTAAAACACATACAACACATTTTTTTAATTCAATCTTATTTTTATAACATATTTCTTATATATATATATATATATATATATATATATATATATATATATATTACAATGTTTTTATATTTTTATTTTTATTTCTTAATTTATATATTTATATCATAAGGAATATATGTATATATTTGTTGATATCTTTAAATTATTAAACTTTTTATATATGTATACATACATACGTATGTATATGTATGTATATATTTTTCTTAGTTATCTTTTCATATTTTTACTCTTAGTTTTATGATTTTTATATTTATTATATTTTACATTTTTGTTAGTTTTCTATTTTCATCCTACTCTAATTTTTTTAGATTTCATACAAATTTTTTTTACATAATATTTTTAACTTTTGTCTTATTATTTTTATATATTCTTAATTTTTGTATGTTTTTGTATTATAAATCAATTTTTTATTTTTAATATTTTGTTTTATTTTCATATATATACATATGTATATTTGTATACTTTAATATTTTTCATATATATTTATAACTTTTATACTTTTTTATTTCACTATACTTTACTATTTCACTATATACATATATATGTACATATATATTTTTATATTTTTAGTGTTTATTATTATTTTATTTTATTATTATTTAATATTATGTATTTTATATTTTTATTATTTTTTTTTTAATTTTCCTTAATTTTTTATATATATATTATATATAATATATATATATATATATATATATTCGTAATTCTTTCATTTTTAATTTTTATTATTTATTTTATTTATTATATTATTTCATATAATTTTATTTTATTTATTATACTATTTTGTAAAATTATGTTTATTTTTTATATAGTTATATGTTTCTCATATTTTTTTCATTTTTTTTTTCACTCACCTTGACGCGTCGAGACTCTTCTCTCCGCTTCCATGGTCGCTGCAACACCAAATACACCGGCAATGTGATTATGTCACACACGAAAGCGAGCACCTTTATAGCACCGATCGCACTCTGCACCCAGAAGCTCTCCATTCTGATTAAATTAGATATTGAAGTTAAGTGAAAATTAGTTAAACACCAAAAAAAATTAATAATTTTTTAGAAATTAAATCATCTATAGTAATATTATGCATATATTTATGTCACAGTCACATGTTGTCGACGAGCGGAAAAAAATCAACAGCGACCACTGATCTTTGATGGGACACGCCGAATTGATAAGAGATTTAATATAATATATGTATGTTTAAATGCGTCCTCGTTCAGTGGTGGAATCACAAAAACAAAAAAAATTAATAAAACTTACATGCAAAAAATTTAAAAAATAAAAATATTACGTTAAAGATTCACACGCGCACGAAAATTGTTTTTTTCTCTCTCTCTCTTTTCCTAAATTAAAAAAGGGTATTGCCGCGCCTTGCAAATGCCGGGATAAACACGAAATCGGCTAAAAGTAATTAAGTACTAAACGCCGCCACAAATGCGACTAAACTAAACTAAAAATGAAAATATTTCTCTAAATGCGCTACCATTTGGCTGAGTAGTTGAAAAAAAAAATCAAACAAAATACGTTTATATGTTTGTATGTATGTAAGTTGGTGTGATTTTCTTACTTTTCGCCCCAACTAAATGAATTTATAGGGTCGTCGCACGTAAAATGTATTAAATACAAATATATAAACTTGCAAATGTATGTGTATATGCACATATGTGTATGTGTGTTATCTCAAAATTTGAAACTTAAAGCAACAAGTGCAATCAAAAACAACAAAACATAAGTCGCGTGCTTTTTTGTTAGTATTGGTAGTAGTAGTGATAAGAATTGTTGTACATACATATATCTATACATACATACATACACGCTGTATATCAAGGTGTTAGTTGGTGGTGGTGGTGGTGATAGTATTGATGATCGGTGACTGATAAAATTGAATGCCAACAAGAAAATACACACGTATAAACTCAGATTCATATGTATACCCATACATACATACTAGAAATTGCTTCTTCTCCCAGTATGCAGCGGAATACGCTCGACACTTTAAAATCCAAATTTCTAGTTTTCTACAAATTTACATGTGTACATACATATTTATATGTATGTGTAATAGGCAAAGACCTTGCACGACCAGTTTTCGATCAAAGTTAATAATTGTGCTAATTTTTGTGTGAATGGCAGGTGTTGAGGGTACGAAACGTGAGTTGTTGTATTTTATATATAGAAAATCAGCGAAAGGCAAATTAAAAAAAAATAACAATAAATATTTATTATCAATTTCCAGAGTAAGTCGAAGGAGAAAAAGTAACCAGAGATTGATTAAATTATTTAGTCAATTGAAAAGTAAAGTCCTCTCTCGACGAACAAAACCCAAACTCTATAAGTCACTAATATTTTCCGTTCATCTAAATGGTGCCGAAGCCTGAACGTTGTCAACGTCCAATGAGTCGACTCTGGAAGTCTCCGAGAAAAATCTTTTGCGAACGATTTATGGTCCTTTGCGCTTTGGCACCGGCTAGTACCACAGGTCATGGAACGATGAGCTTTACGAGTTATCCGGTGACATTGATATAGTTCAGCGAACGAAGAGACAGCGATTACGCTGACTAAGTCATGTCGTCCGAATGAATGAAAGCGCTCCAGCTTTCAAAATATTCCATTATAGTATCCGCCGAAGGATGCAGAAGACTTTAACTTGACATACCCACGCTCATTTTTTTTGTTATAGTGGTCCGATCTGGCCGGTTCCAACAAATGATTAATATATGCATGGTGCTTTTGTAACAGTTGAAGTGATTTTCGGTCGAGTTCCTCCTCCTTTTTGTAGTGAGAGTCTTGATGTTTTTCCAAAAAATGGACAGTTATACTAAACCGTCAACCCGGGCGGACCACGACACGTTAGGAAATCTAATTTCTGCACTAAAAGAAAGTTAGTGGACATTGCAAAGCATTTCTTGACTTTTTATTGCTTGATCAGTTAACTACGAAAAAGCTCTCTTCGGAGTGGGTGTCGGATTCCGCGCAGTGCTAGATTTAAACATAATGAACTCTAATTTTAGCGTGAGTGAATGTGGCAATGGATAAAACACTTCACTCGGAAATCAAAGCAAACATCAACTGATTGGACAACAACTGATTATCCTTGTTCAAGTCCACGTCCGAAAGCACAATAATCGGTTGGAAAAGTTATGGCCTCGATATTCAGCGTTGTACGTGGTGTAATGTTTGACGAAGGTCTTGAGAAGTAAAATAGCATCAACGATGAATATCATAAAAGTGTTATTGAAGATTTTAAAGACGGAAAATTAAAGAAGGGAAAAACTTCGCTTTATCAACACAGCACACCATGCCATAAGCGCTCACGCCCTCCATATGCGACACAATTAGCTCCCAATGACTACTGACTGTTGGCAGACCTCAAAAAAAAAAGCTCATCGTTAAGAAATTTCGTTCGAATGGAGAGGTTATCATTGAAACTGAGGACTATTTCAAAGCTCTCTATGGATAAGTTGACGAAAACAGCAGATTTCGAAAAACGTTTTCCTTGTAAGGCATACGAGTATGTTAACTTTCTCTTAAGATTTCTTATTTAATTTTTAAAAAATTAAACTATACTTAATACGATATGTTGAAATATACAATTTCCCCTTGAACTATGGACTTTTTATCAATCAATAATTTAGACGCTTATATTATAAATAACCGATTCACTATCAATGTGTATCCCAGAGTAAAAAATATAGCTTAAACTAAAGTGTGCATGCAGTAAGACAGAATAATAAAGATACAAGTATATGAGGGTGGTTCTGTTAGTTAACAAAAAAAAACATAGACTAAAAATAAATTAAAAAAAAAAATACAATACCAAATATTTTAAAAATATTGTAATACATCACCCAAATCAATACCATCAGGAACCTGCACTTAAATACGAAAACTTGATATACGGAACCATAGTATGGGAACTTTTCGAACAACCATTTTCCCTATACAATATCTCTAAGGCGAATATAAAAAATATAACAAAATCTATTTATGTACCTATACTTATCAATGCGCCGAAAATATCTTTAAACATAATAAATATGTACTTTAAAAGATTTATCAATGTTTGATAAAATTTCGTTCAAGCAAATCTTTGTTGCATACACAAAGAACTGTATGGGTGGTAGTTAAAATATAAGTACATAAAAATCGATTTAATTTTTTTTTGTACTTTTCCACTCAGCAACACTTTTCATAATTCATTAACAATTATATTGTATTTTAAAAATTCCAAAAAATAAATAAAATAAAATAAAATAAATAAATAAAAATATATCAACGCACTGCTGCTGCTATCAGTCAAATCAATTCAGTGTCATATTTCAACAGTTCGTTCTTTCATACAAACGTATATAGTACATACATACGAGTATATGCACAACAGACTAAAAAAAAAAGTTGTTCCTTATCAAAAATTAATAAAAAAAAATAATAATTCTTCTCCTTCGTTTTTTTTGTATTAGCACTATTTAAATGCATGTAGTTATATGAACTTAACGCAAAATATGGCGTGATGTCAATGGCTCAACTTAATATTTTTAAAATTCTCATTTAATTTTATTTGTAATTTTGATTTCGCTTTGCTTTTGTTACTATTGACTAACGTGATTTTTTTTCTTTTTGTTCCGTTGGTTTGCTGATACCTGATTGTCATTGTTTAGCTATTTGTTATTTTGATTTATTGTGCATGTATGTAAATAAATATAATTATTAAAAATATATATATAAAAATCCAATGCACTACGCGAATATTTAAAGCAATTTATTGAGTATAAGTAGTCTATGGTAAGTGCAACCCTACCATCAAAGTCACGCTACTATATTCGATAACAATCGAATTTATCGAAATGACTGAAATGACATTCTGCTCTTTCACATTAATGCGTTTAATGAAGAAGCTGATTTTATTAGATTTAAATGAGAGAATAAACAATTGTTTAAATTAAAATGGCGTACATAGTAATAAAAAATAAAAATAATAGTTACTTCTAGCTTTGCAACCAAATATAATACGTGTAAACTGGCAAACTAGATAGCAGGGAATTTGTTGTGCGTGTTGAGATATTGAATAATAAAAAGATAAGATTAATGCAAAATCATGCAAATTCAAAGTTAAATAATTAATTTAATATTAATTTTTTGTTTTAACAATGAAACAACAATTCCGCTGACAATATATATTTAAGAATTGTCAATATTGCAGCCTGCAAATAAAAACACACTTCTGCCGTCACTTTGTATACAAGTAGCACACAATCAAAATTATAAATATACATACATATGTATGCAATAGTGCATATACGCTAAATTCAAGGAAAAACTCAAATTTAATTGTAAAAGCAACAGAAACAGCAAAAAAAAAGGATCAAAACTACAACATGTGACCCACGATGACAACCAAAAACAGTAGCACCACAGATAAACTTGATTTGAGTAAATAAATATAAAAGTGCATTTATAAATGTATATATAAGCTAAAAATATAAATATGTACTTGTATATGCAGTAACTGCATTTATGATTGTAAATGTTTGTATGTATGTATGAAATGGGTCAAGTTGAAAATAAGATACATATGCACAACCTTACATACATACATATGCACACATATATATATATATGATATGTAAGTACATCGTTTATGGAGTGTAAAAGTATACTTACTGTGCGTCATCTTCGATAAACATTTTTTAAATGTCTGTTTTCCAAACGGAATGAATGGTAGGCAGACAGGAAGTAAATAAATTTGCGTTTGTAAAAGTGTTGGAGAATAAAATGCAAAAATCAGATGATGCACCACAACCTAGTAGTACTTTGTTGTCCTTTATATGTATGCAAGCACTCGGCGGCTATGGACTGGAAAACTGCAAGTTATTTCTTTATACTATATTATTATTACTATTATATTTGTATTAATGTGTCTTTTATATTATTTTCACTTTTCTATGGTGATGTCTTTCTGATGTAGCGATTGATAACGACTTTTAATAGTTGATTTTATATTTAGATAATATTTTTTATATATTTTATCATGAAGATATGTTTTACTATTGCTGAATTCTAGCTTTTTATAATATACTTTTGCGTTCTATACAGATGATATACACATATAACAATCTGCAATGAAAAATACATAGAAGAGAAACAATACAATTGATGAGTGATTATGAATGAAAAAAATAACATATAAAATATATAAATGATAATAAAATCAAGTGTATATTTATTTTATATTTTTAGCAGCTAAGGAATAATCGAGAAAAAAGTTAACAAGAAATAACTAATAATTTTAGTGATTGTGGCAAATTTGCGTTTTAATCATTTCTGCTGAATAATAAAAGTTAATTAAAGAAAGAAATGGCGCAAGTCAAAAGTGAAATTAAAAAATATCACATACTCGTACAAACATTGATAAATATTTATATAAAAATACATTGACCTATTTATGTGATACCGAAAAATATTATTAATATAAAATAAGCTTTGGAATTCCTAACCCAGTTGAATAACGTATTCAAAATGTACCAGCTAATAATTAAAAACTCGTAACATCACAAAAACTCATCAATAAAAGAATTTTAACAAGAAACCGGTAGTTTACAAAAAAAATATTATTGCGTATTATTGTTAAACGGCTTAGCACACCAGTTTCGAATGGGAAATACAAAAAGAAAAAGAAGGAACACACGAACATAGATTTTTTTTTGTAAATTCTCAAAACATCACAATATACAATAAAAATAAAACCATTCCAGTAAGCAGCAAAAAAAAAAAATAAAGAAAACACACACCAAATAATTTAAAAATAGCACTTAATCAATAAAATTAATAAATTAAAAAGAATATAAATTATAAATGTGAATATTAAATCAACATAAAATCACACTATACTCTAAAAAAAATCACAATTTATTAAAAAAAATATTGCACTGAAAACATTTAAAAGTTTATCTACAATACACTCGTATGCTCAAGAAGAATAATGCTAAAAATATTTCATTTTTTATGTGCTACACACAAATACAATGATGCTGCCAAACCCCCACGCCGTCACCACAATGTCGCTTTGTGTGCCAAAAAAATTTAAGTTCAATTGAACTTTGGACTGATATTTGTTTTCTTTTCTTCCATTCACTATATTTTCTTCATAATAAGATTTATTTATTTTTTGCGGGCAATTTTGTTTTTACACATGTGTATATAGTTTTCTTTACATATTTTTAAAGCAGTATCATATAATAAAATGTAAAGAATTGTTTTTAAATCTTTTCTGTATATTTTTTTTTTAAACTACAATTTTTCGCTGTATATAATGTAATTTAATTTAGATTCATTTTTATGCTTTTTAAATTACATATTTTTGAATTTAATTTAATGTCATTTTACTTTATTTAGTTTTATTTCATTTTTTTTTATTTATTTTTACTGAGTTTTATTATACATACATTCTTTTTTAAATCCTTTCTAAAACTCTACTTTGTTTTATTATTCTATTTTATTTTACTTTAATTCATTGTATTTTACTGAAATTTATGTTGAGCAATTTTAAGTATATTTTTTATTTTTAATTTTAATTTCATTCGATATATTCTATTTTATTTCACTATATTTAAAAAAAAATTCTTTGATTTTATTTTAATTTATTTTGTTTTACCATATTTTATTTTACTTTGCATTAGTTTGTTTTATTTTACTTTATTTTAATTTTAATTTTTTTATTTAATTTTTTTCTTTTTTAAATATTTTTTTTATTTTATTTTCTTTTTTATTTTTTTTTTATATTTTATTTTCTTTTTTATTTTTTTTTATATTTTACTTCCTTTTTTATTTTTTATATATTACTTTCTTTTTTATTTTTTTATTTTATTTTATTTTTTTTTTTATTTTATTTTATTTTANTTAATTTTTTTTTTTTTATTTTTTTTTTTTTTCTTTTATTTTATTTTCTTTTTTTATATTTTCTTACTTATTTTTTTTATTATTATTTTTTCATTTTATTTTACTATTATTTCATTTTAAATTTTGTTATATTTTTTTATTTTACGTAATTTAATTTTATTTTAGATTATTCTTATGTAATTTTAATTTTATTTTAGTATACGAGTATATCTTATTTCTCTTCTATTTATTTTATTTCGCTTTATCTGGTCTTATTTTATTTGGATTTCATTTCATTTAAGTTTATCTAATTTTAACTTTACTTTATCTTATTTATATTTATTTACTTATTTTAGTTTAGTATATTTTTATTTGAATTTTTCAAATTATTTTCATTCTATTTTCTTTTACTTTATTTTATTTCATCAATTTATTTTAATTTAATTAATTGTTTTTATTTTTTTATTATTTAATTCGTATTATTTCATGTTATGTTATTTTGAATTTTGTTTTATTTTATTTCATTTCATTGTCTTCGATTTCACTTGATTTGATTTAATTTTTATTTTTTTATTTGGATTTCATTCATTCATTTTATTTCATTTAACATAATTTGATTTATTTTCCCTTATATTATTTTTATTTCATTTTATTTGATATTATTTTACTTTATTTTATCTTACTTTATTTTATTTTAATTAATTATTATTATTTTAATTTTTGTTCTTTTATGCTTCTAAATTTTTTCCAATAATTACATTATTTTTAGTTTATTTATTTTTGTTTAATTCGATATTATATTATTTTTATTAATATATATTTTTTTTTAATTTTTTTTTTATTATATAGTTTTTCTTGAGTAAGTTTTTTAAATATATTCTGATTTATTTTATTATATTTTCGTTTTTTTTTATTATTTTAAATTCACGCTATGAATTTCCCTTTTATTTTCTGCCTCCAACCATTTTCACATTTTGTTTACTTTATTCATCCACCCACTCTGCATACAAGCCCTCATTCAATAAAAAAAATTGCACTACAACAACACGAAAACAATAAACAAGACAATTTCTTAAAAAAAAAAAAACTGTCTAAAAAATTATTTCTCATCGCGCTCACTCTTTCAATTGGGGCTAATTGAGTTGATAACAACCGTAAGCGAGAAAAATAAGAATTGGCAAGTGAGGAAGGACAATCTATATGCGGAACCAAATATATGGAGAAGTACAGAAAAAAATTGCTCCGATATACATACCTTTGGCAGTTTAAGTCCACTTAATTATCGTTTCTTGCTTTCTACACTATATACAGTTAATTCGACATAAATTGAAAATAGAGTAGTTACATTTTGGAATTAATTTCAGTTTTATTTAAATATTATATTTGATACATATGTATATGCAGCATATGTATAACAGGACAACAAAGCTAAAAAACCTCGTGTACACAAATCAGCTCGGGTATATGAGCTGTAAAAGAACTATACAAATAAAAAGAAACAACTACAAAATTGAACTTTATCGCCAACAACACTTTTGTCTTATATCTTTCAAGGCAACCATGCGACACCCGCAATCCATCAAATTTCTATTTATCCTTAAACATACATGTATACATATCGACAGTAACGACGCTCGCAAGCAAAATCATGTCATCTAGCGGGCAATGTATACGACACTTACCCACCCACCCAACAAAAAACGTCACTCACTCAAATCACACCATACCACTATCTGGCTCATCATACTCTCGTATACTACTCTTCAATGTCATTTGCCAATTGTTGCCGGTACAAAGTCTATCGCGTACAAACATATATGTACATACACGTACATATGTGTGTAGGTAATATGTAAGGCGACGAATCAATTTCATTCGCTGAACCGACCGACCCCAACCGCACATTCGGTCCACCGTGTAATCGACCAATCCATTCAAACAATCATTGTAACCAGAAGCGTAAGTTAAATAAGAGATTTCACACGCGAAACAGTGTGTGTGTGTGTGCATTTGATATTTGCAAACAATAACAAAACAATGGAAACAGAAGTCGCAGTGATTGTGATTAGTTGAGCTAGTCAAAGTTCAAAAGTGCTCTTATGACACCGGCATATCACTGCAAATTTGTTTATGTGTTTTTGTTTTCTTTTTTGCGGTTTTTTTTTTATGTTTTAATATTTTTGTGTGTTTACTTTACAACAATTTAAGCGTGTTGAATTTAATTTTATTGCGTTGAGCATATGGTATTGACGCAGGTACTTTAATTTGTTAAATTACCATAATTTTATTAAATATGTCATTGTGTTGAGATAATAATGACTAACAAACTGTTAGTTTGCTTGAAAAATCAAAGTTCAAGCACAAAAGTACATGAAAATCAAAGTTGAATTGATAAGAAAAATTGGAATAATTATTTTAAATTTAAATCTAGGTGTAGTAAAAAGAAATCCATTATTTTTCCAATAAGTGGCGTTATTTATCTGTATCTTGGGTTATATAAGTGCGATCGGATTCTGCAGTTTTTCTTCGATAAGAGTGAAAACACAAGCCAAGCAGCTGAAGATGTGAATAGCGTTTATGGTCCTGACACTGTTACAGTCGATCATGGGCAATTCCAGTTTCATTTTCCTGTAAATTTGATATAAAAGATGTTTTACGGATCGGAAGGCCAATTGTCGAAAATGCCGATAAAATCTTGGATATTGTCCAGTCCGACACTCATGTAAGTACTGTTTCGATTGTCCAAGAGCTACAGATCGCACAATACCAACACGTTTGAAACCAATTGAATAAGGCCAAAATAATGGTGTATTGCCCAAGACTAAAGACGTCTAACCATTTGAATTGAGCAAAAATGGACTTCTTTTATGTATGAATGAATCATCAGTCTAAGTCATCAAGGACATCTAACAGGAGGTACGGGAAACGAGCTATTTTGACTGGTTCGGATCGGAGGGAAATAGTGGTTAGATGAGTTGGTTTTAGACGGCATGCAAATAGGTGGTTATTGTCGTAAGGTGACTCATTGCCTGCAGGACATGCGATGGGTATGTCGGGCAGACATCTAGATAGGTAGAAATTTAGTCGACTACAATATCCAAATCTTAGTTGTGGTAGTATTACACGGCACTCTCTAGGCAAGTTGAGCTTATCGTCTGCAATAGGTGGTGGTATGACACCGATAATGCCATTCACTGGGAGAGAGTTCAGAAAGGTGTTTACGGATGACATTTAATACC